AGTCGTTTGCAGCTTGTCGCGCGGTGCGGTTCGTTTTATTAGATTTGAACGCTACGGGATATTCCGGTAGGATTAAAGAATAACACATTTACACACAAAAAAAAAGTAAACAGACACACAACAAACAAATACGGACGGTGTTTTTTTTATGGTTTAAATAAATTTATTTAATATAAAATTTGTGAAAGAATTATAAAGTTTTTCAAATGTTTTTAAATATTGTTTTGGAAAAAGAAGTTATTAAAATTGTATAGAGCCACAAGAAATATGAATGAAATTGGATACAAGATCAAAAGAGTTGTTACAAAGTTAAAAACCGCCTAACAAGTGCTAATTTATATTAAAATAAATAGAAAAAAACAAAACAGATAAAAGAAGTGAGAAGTTAAAGTTTTATGATGATAGAATTAGATAATGAAGAGTGAATGATAAAAAAGTAAATAAAACAAAAAAATTTAACAAAAATTATAAAAATATATTAATAACTGTGTTTATAATTTGTAATAAAAGTGTTGTTGTTATTTTTTCGTTTTAAAGAGAGTGTTAGTGAGTGAGTGTTAATAAAGAGGTGTCAAAATCATTAACAAAAACAACAAATATAAAAATATACCGGCAATTTTAATGCTTTTGAATTAAGTTTTTTTTGTTTTGCTGGGTAAATAATTGTGTCTGTACCAACAATAACAAACCAGCTATTTGTGCAAAATCTCGTCGAGCAGAAAACAAAAGAGTGCCTTTTTCACCCAGTTTATAAAATTTGAAAAAAAAAAAAACAAAAACATCACCCCCTTTTTTTATTCAAAATAAATTGAAACCAACCAGCCAGCCAGCCATCCACTCAGTCAAGTCAGTCACTCTGCTGAACCAACCGTTTAACTAACAACGAACCCTAAACTATACAACAACAACAACAACTTTTACAAAAAGGAAAAAATAAATATATAGGAAAACATTTTGCTATAAAAACTGCCAATAAAACAACAACAACTACAACAAACAATAACAAGCCACCCCGTGCTTTGATTTCATTTTACTCTTCTTTTGCACATTTTAATTTGTTTTTGTTGTGTTTAAGTTTGCTTTTCTTTTGGGATTCATCATCATCACTCTTTTTCCCTTTTTATTTGCAACACTTGCTACATTTAACCGCATTTTGCCGGCAAACATAAACGAACAAAAAACACAACTACAACAACCACTAATAACAACTACTACAACAATAACAATAGGAGTTGTAGTGAACTTAACCAAAGCACAATAAACAAATAAACATTAACAAGAACAGCAACAACAACAACAACATACTTCTCTACTCTCTTTACAACAAAAGCAATATCAATAAAAATAAACGGCTATAAAAACTACAACAATAACTACAATTCCCTTAAAAAAAGCAAAACAAAACAAAAGGATAGAAACTGAAAAAAAAAAATAAAATTAATGCAAAATTAAAACAACAACAAAAAACTAAAAGTTTTAGTTTAACAAATAATTCTATAAAAAGAGATTACAACAACAAACTAAAATTTGTTTAAACTTTATCCTTTTATACAAACAAATAAACTTTAATTTATTAAAAAAACAACAAATATGTTTAACAGTAGAACATTCTTTATTAACAACAACAACAACAACAAAATGAGTTCCTTTTCAAACCGCTCCACCACTACAACAAATTCTTCCTCCACTCAACAACAACAACAAAAACAACAACACTGCCTTTACTCTGGGAATATTTACCGTCCTTTGTTTGTTTCTTCATTGTTATTATTAGTAATTGGTTTATTGAACCCTATTAACCCGATTAATGCTTTGGATTCTATAACCGCTCCACCACCCCCCTTGGCAGCAGCTTTAGCTGCTCCTGGCGGTTCCTCAATACTCGAACAATTTAGTCCAAATTGTAGTGCTGTTTCGCATATATTTCAAAGTCGTGGCATAGATCCAGCTGAAATACCACAGAAACCTTCAAATGGTAAGTAACTAGATGTTTAAAAATCTTTCTAATATTTTGATTTAATATGGAACTACATTTTAAGAATAGTTTTTTAACCTGTGACCTTTTAAATTGTGTTAGATTTCTCCTCTTAGAGGAAAATCTAGGTTAAAATATTAAGTTTCTAGAAAGCGTTAAAAGAAAATCTGTACATACCTCTCGCTATTCGGAAATGTATGGAATAGAATCAAATTTAAATAGATTTGGACTCAAAAACCGTTAAGTCCTCATGATAAAACCGGTAGTTGTTGTCATGGAACTAATTACATAGCTAGGTTAGGTTGAAAAGAGAATCAGATCCGAAAAAATACAGCTAGACCCCTATCGGATCTATTGTGCGCTTCTTTTCATGAAGAAATTGTTGGTGAAAAAGCCTTATGTAGCGATATATGAAAGAAATTTTTAGAATATCAGTTTACTGGACGTAGTTCCTTAGAATTTTTCAGTCAGCCCAGTTCCGTAGGTTGGATCCAATTTGATGAAAATTGTATATAATAGCATTCGCCATTTTCCTTTTTAAATCAAGTACATTTATTGCCGATTATTACCGAGTGGTCTGATACCCATAATCCCCTAAAATGATAAGGGTTTTGAAATTGTTGAAATAAATTTTGTAGTTGTCCTCGGGGAACTAGTTCTGCGTTCTTTGCCTTAACAATTTAACTAAATCAATAACTTTTTCGAGCAGATCCATACTTTACTTTCAGACTAGTTCTTAAAGCTGTCATAGAAAGTTAAACTGTTGCAAAATTTTGACTTCTAGGTCCATGAAAAATTATGCTCATAAAAAGTGTTTACATAAAACTGAAGCATATTTCCAAAAAAGTAATAAAGTAACTAGTTCTTTATTGAAAGAAAAGAACTATAAGTTCAGACTAATTCTTAGACCTGTCCTAAGTAGTTAATACGTTGTAAAATTTTGACTTCTAGGACCAAGCCATTATAAATTATGCTCCTATAAAGCGTTTCATTAAAACGGATACTTATTCCCGAAGAAGTAATTAAGTAACTAGTCCTTTATCAATTACATTTTCATCCATTCAAAACTATGGATTTAATTTAGTGCTTAGACCTATCAGAGGTTAGAATTTATACTTTTAGAACAATATCATTATAAATCAAAGTTAAATAAAGTGTTTAACTGAAACCGTTAACTATTCTCAAAGAACTAATTACATAACTAGTCTGTTGTCTTCTCGATGTGATTCATATTATATAGAAGGTCACTTAATTATAATAAAGTTTTTTGATTGGACCCAAACTTTGGCGCACAACTTCGATTTCTAAAACAATGGCGGAATATACAAAGTTTATTTAAAGTGTTTAACTGAAACCGGTAACCATTCTCTATAACTTGTTACGGAACTAGTTCTTGTTCTGATGTCTTCTCGATATGATTCAAATTTTAATGAAAATCAATAAATTTTAACCAAGTTTTTTTATTCGGAACAATTTCTTAGTCTTGTCATAGATCCTCTAAATGGTGCACAATATTTCTCTCTTAATTTAATGAAAATCACTTTATTTCAATTAAATTTTTTATTCGGACCCAACCCATGTTTCCAAAATGGTTCTTAGACATATTATAGGACCTCTAACTGGTGCACGTTTTAGATTTTTAGAACAATATCAGTGAACAACAAAGTGTTGAACTAGAATCGGTATCTATTCTTGAGGAACTTATTATATGAATATTTCTTTGACAGTCTTTGATAGATCTTTGTATGCGCTTAGCTTAGTTCTGAGAGTTTAGAAGGGACTTTTAAAGTATGATAACTATGCGGGTCCTTCTAAGTATGATTAAGTGATAAATTCTTTAATTAGATCCTTACATAAAAGTTTAAGATAGGGATTACTAAAATTGTGAAGGTTAAACTGAATTAGATACCTATTCCGAGGGACTAATTATGGAACTATTTCCTTGTCAATTTTGTTTAAGATTCGATAATTCTTTTTAAAGTTTTGAATCGAACAATTTGAATCAAAATTATTCCTAGAGCAATGTCATGTTAATTTGTTTGTACGTAAAGTGTCAAGGTCCTCAAAGATCTCATCATCTGGATATTTGTCTAGAGCCTCACGGTATTACTTAATAAGAGTCAAAGATTCAAGTTATGGAATGTTATAAAAAAATAGTGGAGATATGCAACCGATTTTGGAACCAATATTTAAATGGTTTCCTAACTTTTAAAGAATCTTGAGATTTCCATTTCCAAATGCATTTTGAGCCACAATGTTAAATTACCTGGACAAAACTATTTAATAAGAATACATTCTAAAAAGGATATGCCGCTAACCTTAAACAGGTAAAAATCTACAAAATTACATATCACATAAGGATTTACACCTGACAACCTAAAAGATCACATTATAATTTCCCTTTAACACACTTTGTCCCTTTTCTTATTGCCCGCATTGTTTTGCAAAATGTAACCCCATCCATACTGTTTAATATCACAAATACTAAACGATAAACAATCTACTAAAATGAAAACATGTAAACAATTTAAGTTTGATCTACGATATAAAAAAATTTAAAAAATTAAATAAATAAAACCCTCAAACCATAAACATGCAACATTCATCAAATGGTCAATATCTCAACAAAATCGACAAGCACTTAAATAATTGTTAACATGATGGTGTTAATTAAATTAACTATAATTATTATTTAAGTGGCAACGACAAGTAGCAAAAAAAAAAATAAATAAAACAAAAAAAATTATCGGTAGCAATTTAATATTTATCAAAGCTGTTAACTTAAATTCATTTAATAAATTACAACATACTAACTATTAGCTGTAATTAAATATCTAGCTATTAGCAGCTGTTAGTAAAACTAACAATTAAGTGAGAGGGAGCCGCATGGCGTTAGAAGCATGTACATATGTACTTTAAGTTTGCAACGAATTTGTGATAATGTATAATTGGAAGGTGAAAATTTTAGGATCGTGGAACCGATCCACTGCCTTGTGGTTATCAGGAGCAGATCCTGAGTACCACAAGCAGACGATATTCTAAAAGCTCTGGGTTCTAATCTATAACAGTCAGGGAGATGTGTAGTTTGTTCCTATAAACCAAAGATGATAGCCGTCTTGGAAGACCATATTTAGGCAACTAATAGCGACGAAAAATCCCAACAAAATGGTTCTATATCAGTCTAATGTTAGCAACAAATTTTCGAAAATTTTATCTTCCATGATCTATGTATATCCGAGTTAACATAAGTTTATCCAAAGCTTGCTTTCTGAAAGGAATTGTATAGAATTGATCGTTTATTTCTTAGGGAAATCGAATTCACTAAAAGAACGAGATTCTCTTGGAATCACTATTGAGATTTGCGGAATCTGGCTTTAGTTCTTAGGAGAATCGATCGATCGTTGATACAGTAAATTTTTTTCTCTGGCGACCTCTGTTTCCAAGTTCGATTGTATCGAATATATTGATGTTGCATTTTAGTTCTTAGGAGAAACGATCTATCGTTGATACCGTTGATATTTTTCTCTGGAGACCTCTGTTCCCAAGTTCGATTGGAATCTCTATGGAGATAAGGAGAAGCTGACTACAGTAAAAGGGTTGCGGTTTGCTTTCTAATATCTATTATGTATTGAGATATACGGATCAATTATTGCAGAAAAATCGACTAATCATTAATCTTTTTAGAGATTTGTAAGATAAATTTCAATAGTTCGTAACTGTTGTTTCAGGAAAAACTGGTTGCGGACCGATCAATAGCAACATAAAATTCATTCTATAGCAATCCCTCTTAACATATTGAAAAAACTGATTGTGAAGCGATCGTTAGTATCGGAAGTATTATACTTTTGATATCTGAAGAATCTGATCATATATCATACGTTAAGTTCTGCAGCCTCATTCTGTTAGAATCTCTAGATGCTTGGTAATCTGAAGATCGTAAGTTTGATTCTGTTGGAATCTCTATTGAGATCTGTAGTGTATCTAGTTAAGGACTGTTGGAATTACTGTAGGGATCTAGAGAATCTAATCATTTGTTAAGTAAATAAGCCTTTTCCTGTTAAAATAACTATTAGGATCTGGAGAATCGAGACTCTAAGATGGTTGGGTAAGTAAATCCTGTTTTGCTGGAATTTCTATTGTAATTTGGATCCGATTGTAAGTTCCATTCTGCTGGAATATCTGTTAAAATCTGGAGAATCTAGTTACAAAAGGATCTTGAGGAGTGTTCCGTTCCGTTCTATTAAAATTTCGATTGAGATTCGAACAATCTGGTTATAGACCGATCGTTTGTATTCAAAGTTCCGTTTTGTTGAAATATATATTGATATCCGTAGAACCTGCTTACATAGCAAGTGTTTCGTTCTGTTAGAATATTTGTTAAGATCTTCAGAAATCGCCAATTTGGAATATCTTTTGAAATTGCAGTGATAGTCCACAAAATTTTAACAAATCTTTGGAACACAATCATGTGAAATTGAGCCTCTACATTCGTACCACCATCGTAAGTCTCTTTATGTTAAGATCTGCAGAATCCGTTTGTGATTCGATCGTTATGATCACAGATTTCTTGCTGTTGGAATATCTCAAAGAACTAAAGCGATCCTCAATAAAATTTTAACGAATCCATGAGACATAAACGTTTGAAATTGAACCTCTTGCTATTATACTAATATTTAAAAAGGAATCTAGTTACATTCCGATTGCCAAGAGCGTTAATCTCGTTAAATTTAGATTCGAAGAATCTACGATTACGATTTATCGATATCTGGAGAAACTAGTTAAAAAGCGATCGTTAGGATCATAATTCTCGTTCTGTTGAAATATCTTATGGAATTGTACAATTGGATCCGTTCGTTATTCCCATTCTATTGGAATTTCTATTGAATTCTGGAGAATCTAGTTACAGCCCGATCGTTAAAGGAGTAAGCCTTATTCTATTTGAATCTCTATCTGAAGAATCTGTGATCATTTGTGTTGCTAGTCCTGTTCTTTTGAAATAT